ATGTAACCTAGGATAAGATACTGAAATGTTTGCTCCATAATTCAGATTAATTGATTTATTTAATAAGCATTTCCTAGGAGAGATTTCAAGGGGACACTGAAATGAAAGCTTGGTTTCTGCTCGATGAATAACCATGTTCTCAGAAGAAAACGGCTAAGCTTCTGTTTGCAGCCTTTGGTGGTTTCTCACTGACCATCCTGGGGTCTCCGAAGCACTGCAAGCTGTGGCTCCCGCCCACCTCTGTCTTCCTCATCCCACACCCGCTCCTCACGCACCGGACTTCAGCTACTGTCTGTCAACTCGGGAATCCCTCTTGTTCCCTCCCATCTTTCCTCCAGGACACTGACTTTTTGGAAAATCCATGTCAGCTGTCTTGCAGAATGTCCCATATGCTAGGTGAGGTGTGGGCAAAGTATGGCCTGTTTGGTACAGCCCTGGAACTATTTATAAACGGCTGTGAAAAAAGAAGAGAAAGAAGAAGGAAGAGGAGAATTATGTGAAGACTGTATGGCCTGCAAAGCCTAAAATATTTACCAGCTGGCCCTTTGAAAAAAAAAGTCTTCTGACCTCTGTTCTAAATCTTTATGTTTCCTCATGGTATTATTCAGCTTGTGCCTCAGTTCCTTGGATTTGGGGGAAAGTATAAAAGAGATCTCGAACTGTCCTCTCCAACACGGTAGTCACCAGCACACGCGGCTATTGGCACTTGAAATGTTGCTGGTTCACATTAAGTGGGCTGTAAGGGTAACCTACACCCCGGATTTCAAAGATCTACGATGAAAAGACTGTAAAATATTCCATTAATGATTTGAATATTGATTACCATGTTCAGATAATATTTCGAATATATTGATTTAAATTCATCATTAAAACAAATGTCACCTATTTCTTTTTTTTAATATGGGTATATTACATACTTTTTTCAATATGGGTATATTACATACTTTTTAAACCATTATATATATATGGTTCACATTATATTTCCATTGGACAATGCTGAATGTAGAGTCATGATTAAAGTCAGGTTAAATATTTTTTGGCAAGAATACTTCATAGTTGATCTTATATACATCACTATTGCATTACTTTGTCCCATTATTAATGAGACTAAATTTGGTAACTTGATTAAGGGGTGACTGACAAGTACATATTTCCATTGCAAAGGTACATTTTTCCCTTCACAATTTGTAATCTATTGTAGCCACTCGCCTATCAGTTACCCAATTGATGACTTTTCACTTAATGGTTCCAATATCCTTTGGTGATCCCTGCTTGAATCAATTATTTCACTGGGGATTGTAAAATGGTGTAATATTTTAAAAAATTCTTAACTGGTATTCTTTTCTTCCTTTAAATTTTTTTTTTTTTTTAGTATTATAATCAAATGTTTATTTACTCAGAGTATTACAATCAACTGCAGTTATTATTCTTTTTGATATTCAAATCTCCCTAAATTTGCTTACTGGGAGGTCCTTCAAGTTGACTCCCAAATCCCTTTATCATGGCTCCATTAGTTTTTGAGTCCTGCTTTGCCTTTTGGTACAAAAAGTCCCAGGAACTTTCCCTGTCCCAGAAGTGGAATCAGCCATTTCTTAAGAAGTCTCTATGTCTTTTAATAAGAAATGGTATTCCAAAACCAAGATTACTTCGGTAGATGTGATCAGTTACTGGGTGACACTGCTTTCAGCCCTTTCAGTAAACAGAGCTAAAAATATATTTTTTAAGAAGTTATAAGCTCATATTGATATTTCCAGTTCAAGTTGAATATTGTAGTTTTTCTTAACTTCTTTTATTTTAGGTTTGTATTTCTTTTCCATGTACATTAAAAACCTTCACTTGATAAAACATGAAAACATTTTCTTTCTTTTTTTTTTTTTTATCCTCGCCCGAGGACATTTTTCCATTTTTTTGTTCAGATAGAGCGGGAGAGAGAGAGAGGAAGAGAGAGAGAGAGAAACATCGATGTGAAGGGACACATTGAGTGGCTGCCACCCGCACGACCAACCAGGGCCAGGGACAAACTGCAACCGAGGTACGTGCCCTTAGCGGGAACCGAACCCGGGTCTCTCAGTACCGCAGGCCGATGCTCCAACCGCTGCGCCAAACCGGCCAGGGCTGAAAACATTTTCTTATTTGCTTTATCCTATAATACACAATTTTTAAATTACAGTAATAATATTACAGCTAACATTAACCATAGTGTGTGGTGAAGTTTAAGATTTCTTTGTAGAGCATCTGTCCTCAGAATATAATCTACTAAGGGTATATAGTCAGAGTGACTTGAAATAATTATTTTCCTTGAGATTTTGTGTTATATATTTGATAGACAGTTTTATTTATTTCTGTGTTCCATTTTAGCTTTTGTTTTCTTTATTTTTGAATATGTAAAACATTTACATGGTTCAGAATTCAAAATCATCCTGTTTCTACCTTATCTGTAGATAACTCTTTTCTTTAATTTCTGGTTTATCTTTTCATATTTCTCCCCCACTCACCCCCCAAAATGTCTTGGAAACCACTCCCTATCAGTTCATAGAGATTGTCCTCATTCTTTATTTTTTTTTATTTTTAAGTTGCTGAAGAATATTCCACTATGTGGATGTACTTTAGTTTATCAATAAGTCTCTTACTATGCACATTTCTGTCATTTCCAATCATTTGCTACTACAAAGATGACACAGTAAGTAACCTTATGTCTATTTTGTTTTGTGTTCGTGGAAATGTAGTTTCAGGGTAGATCCAGGAATCTCATTTTTAAAAACATCTCAAGTGAGTTTGATGCACAGCCAGGTTTGAGTACTGTTGCTTACTGTGTATGGTAAAAATGGTATCAGGGAACCTAGAATTGTTAATATTTTAGAATGAGGGATGAGAAAAAATGAGGGCACAACAGGTAAAGAAGCAAGGTTCTCATCATCCTGAATCCTTACCTACACCATCTAGTAGAATGCAGTTGAGTTCTATGAACAGAAGCTTAACTTCTGGAGTCCAGTCCCCAAATCATCATCATCCTGGTAACATTATCCTGTACACATACACACACATATGTGACCATTTTGGGGCAGTGAACAGCTCTCAGTCTGGATGTGTTGTCTCAAGTAGCCAAGGGGCATCCAGTAGTGGCATCTAATAGGCAGTTGTTTGCAGTTTTAGAGATCCGATTAGTTGTTAGCTGTAAACATAAATAGGTATTCTGTCACCAAAAAGGGTTCATTCAGGAGAAATGAAGAACTGCAATCCAGTTTGTGCAGACAAAGTGAGCCAGAAGCATGAATAAGATCAAGAAGCAGGAAGCCCCCTTTTACAGAGAAGAGCAAGTGAAGGGGTGAGGGGTGGGGTCGGGGGGTGTTACAGCCATAGAGCTCTGTTGTAAACAGAGTTCTTTCTCTAGGCTTTAGTGATTGACATATGGTGTCAGGGCTCCTTCCACCGGCCCTCCCCTGACTCCTATGTAGGTTAAGGTCTCTCATAAATTTTGACAGGAGTCATTAGCACGTAGTAGGTAAAAGATGATTGAAGGAAGAATTAGAGTGAGAAGGTGCTTAGGATGGAACCCAGGAGAATACCAGTACTTAAGAGGATAGTAGAGGAGCCCAGGAAAAATACACTTAGCCAGAGGGGCAGGAGGAAGACCCGAGAAGACAAATCATAAAAGTCCAGGGAGCTGAGTGTTACAAGAAGAAAACAACTATCAGTGTCAAATACTGTTGAGAGGTGAGGTAAGACAACAGCTAAAAGATATCCATTGGATTTAGCAACAAAGAGAACAGCAGCGTGATTTTTGACAGAGAGATACAATGTTGTGGTGGAAACAGTAGCTACTGTGAGTGTTAAGGAAGGAAGTCAATGTCATATAGATGATTCCTGGATCCACTGGTGTTTTGTCAGCTGCACAGATAATTTTTCTTCTAAAAGGAACAAAAGTGGACATTTATACCCCCAGGGAAAACATCAATTTTAGTATTTTCTCTTATAAATTTGTCTTAAACCATTGGTGCTGGCTGTTGTTGAATCTAGCATAAGATGCTTTTGGTTTTGGCAAACAGTGTGTAGTTATTTTAGGTGTCTTGTTAATAAAGTAATTTCATAATGAATAGTATCAAAATAGTAATGTAGTAATATACGTTATGGTTTTCAAATAGTATCTCTATCGAGGATGATAATCATGGCACCAGAAAACTTTCTAAACTACTGTGCTTTCTCTTCTACTTTGCTCCCCCCCATCCTGGTCTATACTCTGGGCTAAGAGGAGATGATCCCCCACCCCTGCCCCGTCCCCCCACTGTGAGCAGGTAGCAGCTTAGAGAAATTTGGGAGACCAGGGTGTACTCACCGAGAAAAAGATGAGGACTTTGAATGTCACCTAATCCAGTGGTTTTCAAACCTGCCTGAGCATCAAAATTAACAATCTGGAACTTGTCTTAAAAGACAGAACCCTGGGTGCCTGCCCTAGATCCAGACACAACGGGTGGAATGAGAATCAGAGACCTGTACTTTGAATAAGTGGCTTTGATGATAGAAATTCAACTCCGGGGGAAACGGAGGCCCAAAGCAGTCACGACTAGCCAGAAGGGTCCCAGGAGTGGAGAGTCCCTGCTCGGTGCTTGGGCTGGCGGCCAGCCGTCCCAAAGGGCATCTGGATTTTCGTTTTGGGGGTGTTGGAGAGGGCTTGCTTTTCCGTGATCTCTAGGCTCACTAGACGTGGCCTTCCCCCGCGATTCTGTCTCCTCAGGAGATGTCGTGGGCTAGAGGTTGAGCAGGTGCCACACGTGCTGCTGCAGCGCGCTGGTTTTGTCCAGGCACCCGGTTCGGTTACCGCGCGCAGCGGGAGAGCGCCACCCAGCCACCCAGGTCCCCCGCCCGCGGCTTGGGGGCGGAGCTTCCCCGAAGCCCCGCCCCTCACGCTCTTAGGCGTTCCCGGAAGTTGAAGGTCTTTCAGTCGCGGATCTGATTGGCTGATGACGGCCCTGTACCCAGCTCAGGTTTTCCGGAATTGGGTTGAGCTACGGAGAGCTGAGCTATGGCCTCGGAGAGTAAGCTCTTGAGCGAACTGTGGGGACCTCTGCTCCCGTGCAAGGCCTCGGGGGAGGAGAGCGATGACTGCCTGTTGGAGGATGTGGAGGAGGACGAAGAGCCGATGTTTGTCGATGTCGAGGAGCTCTGCAGTGGGGGCATTAAGGCTGGCAGCCTCCCGGGGTGCGTCCGAGGTGAGGAAGCCCCTTGCCCTTGGGGGAGGGGATGGGGGGAGTGAACGCACTGCTTTCTAGTGTGGCCCTGTCCTAAGTGAGGCGCCCCATCGCTTTTAACAGACTACCTTTGGGACCGCCTAGCTGCTTTGCCTTACTCAGGGTAAAATAATATTGATAATATAACAATGACGTGAGCAAATACTGTATGAAGCTTGTGCTCTACATTTATGATCTCGTTTAGTGGTCACAGCTGTTCGAAGTAGTTTTATAGTCGAGGATATTTGTAACGGTGGTTGTTGAGCCTGCATGCACGCCCAGAATATTTGCACGGTCCCGTACAATGGCCACTAGCCACACGTGGCTACTGAGAACTTGAAATGCATCTAGTGCAACTGAGGACCTAAATTTTAAATTTTATTTAATTTAAATTTAAAGAATCACATGTGAGTGGACAACACAGGTTTAGACAGACAATTTTCAAGTATTTGAGGAGGGTTTAGTCATTTATCCTAGAAGTGTTAGTGGCTGGGTTCCATGTTCCAAGCAAGGTGTTTGTTGCTGGGATACCCAGGAAAGAGAGGATGATGAGGTTGCTGTCCTAGTGGAGCTTACCGTCTAGTGAATTAAACAGACATTCTTTAAATAATCACAGAAGTAACTATAATATTACTAAGTGCTTAGAAGAAATAGTAAGTAGTGCTAGAGAAGTTATATTCTTGAGATTCAGGGAAGGTTTTCCTGAGGAAGATAGTTAGCTGAGGTCTGTAGTAAAGGGGGTAAACTTTTTTTTTATCCTCACCGAGGACATTTTTGCATTTATCTTGAGATACAGTGGGAGGGAGAGAGGAAAACATTGAGTGGTTGCCACCCACATGACCGCAACCGGGGCCGGGCACAAACTGCAACCCAGGTACCTGCCCTTAGCGGGAACGGAACCTGGGCCTGTCTGGTCTGTGGGCTGATGCTCTAACAGCTGAGCCAAACTGGCCAGGGCTAACGGGGGTAAACTTTAAGGAAGAAAACATTTAAGGCAGATGAAACAGCTTATGCAAAGGCCTGGTGGTGGGAGGCACCATGACATTTTTTTAAGAAACTACATGAAGGTTAGTATTGGTTGAAGTCAAAGTAGCAGAGAGGACTACTTTTATTTTATTGTTTTATTTATTTTTTATTTTTTGAGAGGACTTCTTTTAGAAAAACAACAGACTTTTGCCATTCACCATGCTTACCTCTTGGAATACAAAGACTAATGAAACGTTGTCCTATTTTAGAAGGCTTATAGTGTAGTCAAGGGTGACAGATAAACAGGTAAGTGGAATATAGACACCCTGATAGATATCTGTACAGGGTGCTGTGTGTGTGTGTGTGTGTGTGTGTGTGTATGAGCAGGGGGAAGTTAAAGAGAATTTGATTAAAAAACAACAACAAAATAACATTGGAAGAGAGGTTTTAAAATATAATAAATTAACTTTTTTTTTTTCTTCTTAAGTTGTAATTTCTGATGAGAACACTAAAAAGCAGTGTGAAGTGTCTGGACGTTTTCCATTAACGGATCCTTGGTGGCGAGTGAAGGTACAAGTAAAACCTGTGGGATCACGGAGCTATCAAGTTCAAGGATTTCCATCATACTTTTTACAGTCTGATATGTCACCGCCAAATCAAAAACATATCTGTTCCCTCTTTCTTAAAGACTGTAATGTCTCCAGTGACATTATAACCAAATTTTTAGCATGGGTAAATAAAATATCAAGCTATGAAGACCTCAACTTTGAAAATCTTAGGGAAACATTAAGAACTTTCTACAAGGAAACTGAGATGAATGAAAGAAAACAATCTACAAGGAATAAACAGGAAGAGTCCCAGCCAGATTATGAGATGCGCCTTCCAATGGAAAACACAGGTAGGTGTGATTTTTATCATCCAGTTTTAGTGTGATTGAGGTATTTACTGATCTGTGTGTTTTAAAATATTGCTACTATGGTATCTTGGCATAGTATTTTTTTTTGTTTTAGAGAGAGAGAAAGAGAAACATCTGTCAGTTGCCACCTGGGGATCAAACCCGAAGCCTAGGTATGTGCCCTGACTGGGAATCAAACCTACCTTTAGGTGTAAGGGATGATGCTCCAGCTAACTGAGCCATCTGGCCAGGGCCATAGTATTCTTTTTAAAATTGATTTTGATGTTATATTATTTTTGGAGTATGTCATTGACATTCCAGGTTTCTCATCTTTAATGTGAAGAGATTGGGTGAGATGATCTTTTAGTTCCTTTCAGTTTTATTCCAGCTCCAAAACTGATTTTCTCTCTCTAACTTTTGTCTCCATAGGATTACCTTGAGTCATTAAGGAAAAGTTCAGTTGTCAATTATTTAAGAAGGCAAACGAGAAAGGCAAGAATATGAGTAATCCATTTTGGAAACATTTCAGTCCAAAATGATTTAAAATATTTTAAAAATATGGTTTGTTATTTGGACATTCACATATATAGAATATTTCAATTATAAATATTCTAAATAAATTTGTCAGAACACTATCAAATGACTTCAATGACAAAAGGATCATGATTACAATAAAAAATGATTATAAAGTTTAATATATTACTTTTTATGTTTAGCTTTGAATTTATCTTTATATCATTGAGTCAAGAATTTTATTCTAATTATTTCAAGCAAAATGAAACAAAAGGCTAAGAAGTAATTACCTAAGCATTTAAAGAACATAAATTTTGGTGTTAAATACAATGAAAACCATCTCAGTACCAAATGAATTGTTATAATACCAATTTTCTTGCTGGTTAAAGTAAATTAATTAATCTCTCTTTGATTTGGATTTCTTGTGCTGGTCATACTAAATGAGAAAATCCATCAAATCAGTTGTTCTATAGCTCATTTGTATGTTTTTATCTGCTCTTTTCTAATGTCCTGCAGTTCCATTTATAAATGTAATGGCAGCATTGAAGTTTCCAAAAATAATGGAATTCCTTCCAGTTCTTCTGCCTCGACACTTTAAACGGCTTATAAGTTCAGTTTCTCAAGAGGTGTTAGAAAAGATAGAAGCGATTTTAGGTACGCATCCATGGAAACTTGGATTTAGTAAAGTAAGTGAAACATTTGCTTAGCATTTAGTAATCTTATGTAAAGCAAGATTTCTCAAACTTGACAATTTTTATATCTCTTTCAAAGGAAAAACGTTTGTATGGGCCTCAATGTTGATGTACTTTTCTTTGTTACAAACAAAATATAAAGTTTTATTTATTTTTTTAATCCTCACTTGAGGAAATTTTTTTAAAAATTGATTTTAGAGAGAGAGGAAGAGGGAAATATCGATGTGAAAGAGAAACACCGATTGGTTGTCTCCCGTGTGTGCCCTGACCTGGAATTGGACCCATAATGTAGATCTGTGCCCTGACTGGGAATTGAACCCATGACCTTTCGGTGTATGAGAGGATGCTCCAACCAACTGGGTCATCCGGCCAGGGCCTAAATATAAACTTTTTATGCCTCTAGATCTTATGCAATAAATTTATAAAGGAAAACAAAATAAGAAAAAAAATGTCATTCACATTATTAATAATTTAGTTATATAATTTAATGTGGCAACTTTTTTTTAGTAATTGCCATTTGCAACTTGAATATAGATCTCATTGAAGACATGTTCTTTGTTTTTAAATCTTCACCTGAGGATATTTTTCCATGTATCTTCAGATAGAGTGGGAAGGAGAGGAGGGTGGAGAGGAGAGAGAGAAAGAAAGAGAGAGAAAAGCATCAATGTGAAAGAGACACATCGATTGGTTGCCTCCCACACGACCCCACCCAGGGCCAGGGACTGAACTGCAACCAAGGTATGTGCCGTTGACTGGAATTGAACCTGCGACTCTGGTCCATGGGCTATTGCTCTATCCGCTGAGTCTAACTGGCCAGGGAGAAGACAAGTTCTTACGAGTTTGGCAAATCCATTCTGCTGTGCAACTCAATCCTCCACTTTCCTATTTAAACATTTAAAAACTTCTACTGTTCATATAGGATAGCGTGATGTAATTTGATCTTTTAAATTTGGTACAATAATGTCATTTACAAATGACTCCTGTTAAATTAGAGACTAAGAGTAGTAATGTGACACTATGAAACTCGAGTGGCACTGGAAACCAAACATGGCAGTACTTGGTTAAAGGTGGTTCTCCAAATGAAAAGACAGTTTTAAAATTCTGATATAATTTTTGGACCCCCAAGAATGTGTGCAGACACCCTTCCCCACCCAGTTTGAGGAAAACTAGAGTAATGAATTTGTTCCCGACATAAAGTGACTATAATTTCTGTATGCTTTGAAAAATAAAAGAGAGAGAGATCTGTCGAGAAAGACTGTCCATGGCAGGGAGTTAGCATGGCAGAGGGTGGGGGTGGCAAAGGGTAAAGAGGGTGTTGGAAGGAGATTTACTTGAGGTAGTAAACACAATACCATGTACAGATGACGTATTACAGAATTACACACCTGGAACCTATATAATTTTATTAACCAATGCCATCCCAATACATTTAATTTAAAAATATTTAAAATTTAAAATAAAACCAGGGGATAGTATAAACAGTACTTAGAAATGTGAAGATAAATTTCGAAAGAAAAAACTGGATGAGGTGAAAGATGGCACGGGAAGGATGAGGCAGGAGATTCCCATTTTCAGTGATAAATCTTATAGTGTTATTTGACTTTTAAAATTATGTGTGTTGCTTTGTGAAAATATAACTTTAAAAATTATATAGAGCTCTAATCCCAGGATACTCAATTAAAAAATTAGTGCGATGTATTAGGTACATAGTTTTTTTTTTCCAGATTGAGTTGAAATAACATGTCTTCTGGAACTTAAAGAAATATTAACCAACAAGTAACATTGTTTTTACTGTAATTTGAATAATACTCATCAACATTTACAATTTTTATAAAGCAGCTCGAACTTTCTTTTCTGAAAGATAACCTACAGAGAGCTGAAGCTTCTGGGCTGTGAGGCGAGTTGGACAGCGTTTTGCCAGTGCACGCCTCTCCTCCACCTGATGACCGATTTACAGAGGAACGGGCTCATCATCTATGCCAAACTGAAGCAGCTGTGCAGAGAGCATGGGCACACATATGTAGAAGAAGCTGACTTAACTTCTCTGTTGTCAGGCCACGTAAATTTCCATGATGTTTGGCAGTCTCTGAAGTTTCTAAAGGATATTGGTGTGGTGACATATAAGAAGGCCTGTGTCTTTCCTTATGACCTTTACCAGGCTGAAAGAGGCATTGCCTCTTTAGTAGGTGACCTGATGACGAGGCCTCCGTGGCGTTTACGAGTCGATGTCAGAAAGGTGCTTGCGTCGATTCATAACAAAATGCCCGAGAATCCAAGAAGTGATGATACATTGAATGAAAGTAAACCGGATGAAACATTAGACACTTCTGAGGACATTCTGAACACACAGGCCAGTGGTGATCATATTGGGGATAATGGTGAAAATGAAGGCGATGCAGAAATAAGTGACGATCAGCTGGACCAGGACCAGGTGGCTGCTTTGGAAATGATCTGCTCCAATGCTGTGACAGTCATAAGTGGGAAAGGTGGTTGTGGGAAGACCACAGTCGTTAGCCGTCTCTTTAAGCATATAGAGCTGTTGGAAGAAAGCGAAGTACAAAAAGCTTGTGAAGACTTTGAACGAGACCAGGACGTACCAGAAGAGTGGATTACTTTCGCCGAGCAAAGTCTACTGAAGGCAGACAAAACTATAGAAGTTCTACTAACTGCACCTACAGGAAAAGCAGCCGGTTTACTGCGACAGAAGACTGGTTTTAGCGCTTACACACTACATCAGGTAAAACCGTCCACATTTCTCCTTGAGAGAAAACATTTGCCTTAAAGATAAACCTCATTTAATTAGTTTGTTTTTCATTTCTTCCTGATGACAATCAGTAGTTATTTATTGAATGTCTCCTAGATCCCTGCCTCATAGTAGCTAGTGATTAGTGATCAGTGCTCCTCAGAGCAAACCGTCTGGAACCTGGTACTGGTTGGCAGTGGGACAGGAGCTAGCGCCAGCGAGTAGAGCAGGGTACTGCTTCTCTCACTGAGAAAGTCTCATGAAAACAAAATCAGCTGCACTCACGTGTATGCTCAGTGACGTGGTTAGGCACAAGCTCTGCTTCTCATTGGGACTGGCTACATGCGTGTCAGTCCACAGACCATATTTTGAAAAGCACTGGAGCTGGAAGAAAAAGGCTTGTATTCCGTGGAGTTAAAACTCCATGAAGGTAAGGACTTTGACCATCTGGTTTAGTTTGTTTGTTTGTTTATTTTTGTTACAGGTGCTTCTCCTTTTCTCCCCATGGACACCCTCCTCCCAATCCTGCCCCCCACCCCAGCATTGTTGTCTATGTCCTTGTTTATGCATACATGCATATAAGTTCTGTGGTTTCTCTTCCCTCCCCCCATGTCCACCTCTTCTGAGGTTTGTCAGTCTGCACCCGACTTCCGTGTCTCTGGGTCTATTTTGTTCCTCAGCTTGTTTTGTTCATTCTTTATCTCCCTCACCTACAATAGTGCCTGGCCAATAGTTGTCACATAATAAAAATTTCAAATGAATTAATATACATGAAAAAAAAAAAGTTCGGCTGTAGTTAAGAGCCATGAAGTTTTAAACTTGTCAAGAGTGGTAGAGGTTCTTCCAGCCTTGAACCTATAGAGCAAGGAACTTAGTCATTGGAAGATTTCAGAAGGAAGTGATAGTTAAAGGATAGTCCTTTCCAAAAGCGTGGAGAATGATCATAGTGTGTGTAGAGGGTTTTGATGTGACTGCATCGATTGGAATGAAGTCTGTGCATTGTAAAATAATGGAAATTAAACTTGATTTAGACAGGGAATTTGAGCTTTAAAATGTGTAAAGTACTTTGACATCTCACTAAATCCTTGATAAACCAGTGAGGTGGCTAAGTGATGCTATCTCCCTTTAACAAAAATGCCAGTTGAGATTTGGGGGTGTTACACGATTTGTCCTAGATCTTAACCAGGTGCAGAACTAGCACTTAAATTCAGGTTTCTGACCTCCCAGCTTGTTGCTCTCTCCACAGTGCCATAGCTTCCTCATTTATTTTATTTTTTTTATCCTCACCCGAGGACATTTTTGCATTCATTTTCAGATAGAGTGGGAGAGAGATAAGGAGGAAGAGTGAGAGAGAAACATTGATGTGAGAGAGACATATTGAGTGGCTTGCACCCACATGACCCCAACTGGGGTGGGGACAAACTGCAACCGAGTTATGTGCCCTTAGCGGGAACTGAACCCGGGACTCTCTGGTCCGCAGGCTGACGCTCTAACCTCTGAGCCAAACCAGCCAGGGCCTTCCTCATTTATTATAGACCTTAAAACCCAGCAGGATCTTGGTCTTGATTTCCTGGGGAACCATTTAGGTTCCCAAGCAAGTGACTGAAATGAAGAAAGCCGTGTTAAGGAAAATTACCTCGAGTTTTAGAGCCATGAGCCATCTCAGAAATTACTTTGCCCATGATCTTTGTCACATGTGTGAACATGAAGTTCAGTGTAGATCATTGGTGGAAGGGTCTTCTGATCAGTTTATGTTTTTTTCCCATTACACCTTCATGTTTGATTAGTCTGAAGGATTGAATTAGGACAGGAGAGGGCAGAGAGGGACCATTACTAAATTTCATCTTATGTTCCAACTCTGATCAACTGGCAGTATCTTAATATCTGCTTGGGAAGCTGGGAGAACACTTGAAGTCACTTTTAGGCTCAGGAAAAGAGTGTAAGGCACAGAAAGAGCACTGAGGTGGCACTTAATTGATCATCCTTGGGCTAGGGTGATCAGACTGAGCACATAAAAATGCAAGTACTTGTTAAGTATAAGTATGTACCAAATATCACAGTGAACATACTTATACTAAAAGTCACTTATTTTTTTATTTGAAATTAAAATTTCGCTGTGTTTGCTGTACGTCATCTGGCGATCTCATCTTGTGTTAGAGCGTAGGGGGCCTGGCTGGAAGGTTACTGGACGGATCTAGTTGCTCATAGGTGTGGCCGGTATTGAGTTGGTGGCACTAGAAATACAGTGGAAAGTGTCAGTCCGGCATTTCTAACTAATAGAATACATAAAAGAAAAGAAACAATTTGCAGTGATTCAAATGTTTTATTGTGAGACAGGGCCACTGAGAGATCATTTTTTGTTTGTTTTTTTAAAGGAAATTGATGCATTTGGGTGGGAAATATGAATGCTTTTACTTAACAGATACATTGAATCTAGTTGCAGTAGAAAACTTAAATAAATTGGTAGTTGCAAAACAGTCACAAGGATGTCAAGTACAGCATAGGGAATATAGTCAATAATATTGTAATAACTATGCATGGGGCCAGGTGGGTACTTGAACTATCAGAAGAACACATTGTAAAGTACATGATTGTCTAATCACTATACTGTACACCTGAAACTAATACAACATAATATTGAATGTAAACTGTAATTGAAAATAAAATTTTAAAAAAGGTGTGGTACCATTTAAAAAAATCTGTATATACAGTATATGCATACTTACAATACAGAAACTTTTCTGGAATGATAGAGACCAAAATATTTAACATTATCTGGCTGTAATTTTACATTTTTTTCCTCATCTGTATTTTTAAAATAGTAAATATTATGTCTATAATAAATTGTTTTTGGTGGTGATGTTTTTAAATGTTGAGGACGTTGGGGAGTTTAGAATACTAGAAGAAAAAGTACTAGGTTGGGAAGGCAGCACTTTATTTCCAGGATGGAGTATTACAGTTGGGAGAAAGGAGGACGGAAGTGATGGGCCAGCTCAGAAGACCAAGAGAAAGGTTATTTGTTCTCTGGTCAAAAGTAATAAAGGAAGGGTTGAAATTTTTGCAGTGGAACAATGATATCTGCAAAGCCTGTTAAACACACTGAAATAGTCATTAGGAAGCACTTTTTTTTGAATTATTTGATCTCTTTGTTTTCAGATTTATTTGGTCTATCTTTTCTGTGTATTCATCTCTGTAACTTGTGTTCTTTGTTTCTTTAGCCTTTTCCCCTTGTTGCTGTACCTACACCTCCCCACCCCCCACCCCATTTAAGTTTTGTTTGAAAATGTTATAAAAAAATACATTTCTTCTACATTTTATAACCTGAACTTAGAAATGCAATACTTTACTTGTAGGTCAATTATAGCTTCTATGTATGGAATCAAACAAACAAGAGCAGTCCATGGAAATTTTCTTCAGTTCGAGTCCTGGTTGTGGATGAAGGGAGTTTGGTATCTGTGGGAATCTTCAAATCTGTTTTAAATTTATTGCTTGAGCACTCCAAGCTTTCTAAGCTGATTATCCTTGGTAAGTTAAAGTATTGTTGGAATTCTAACTGTTTAGTTCAAGGCATTGTGGTTAAGTGGCTGTTTATACACTTTCACTGCTTTAATATTCATATTCTACAGGTGGGAAGTCATTCGACAGAGCCCAGACTAAAGTGACACTGAATTCCATTTGACCGCTGTCTTTAGCAGCGTGGGAGGGTCTTTGTTTTGGCCAGGATATTAGCAGGCTAGGATGTGAATAAAATAGAGGTAGTCATCATCTAAAGGATGACTGTTAACGTGGTAAAATGTCACAGAGTCAGAGTAAATCAGGATGTAGATTTATTTGGAAATAATAAAATGCCTGAATTATAGACCTCTTAAAAGTAATTTAATGATTTTAATCTAATAACTCAAATTAGGCCTTACCAACCTCTTTAAATCCTTTCCAATTCTGGTGAGATTCACTTAGATTCTGTTGGGTATAGTGTTCTGTAGACTGTATGCTTTAATGGAGAAAAAAATAGAAGTGCATTGTGAGAATCAAATTGTATATAAGTAATTTTTTTAGGTATTTGAAGATATTTTATAAATAGTTTATTCTATTAAAGGCTTAAGCATTCTTCCATCTTCCACCCAGAAAATAGTTTTTCTTATCTCTATGGTTAGTGGGTTTGCTTAAAATGAAAAAGATTTTTATTAGAGCAAAACGTTATCATTACATTAGTTTTTGAATTAGGGTGATTCAGTGAAGCACATTTATTAAGCCCTTTTAGCAAAAAGGTAGAATTTATCTGTTACCAAATGGGTTTGTTTATTTTGTATTTTATTTTAGGCAATAGAGTCTTTCATGTTTAGTAAGACATTGAGCAAGATTGTTTTTTCTTTACATGTTGGTCAAAATATAAGTCCTTATACAGTTTACCTGCTGTTACAGGTATGAAAGAAGTTCAACTCAAATTTTACCTTATTGTTATTGATTTTTTTTATATCTTATATGGTTTAATCTGAATGGTATATTTTTGTTAAATATTTTTAAAGACTTAATGTTCTCAAGTCATTTTTAAACAAAGATTTTAGGGGGCTTTTCTTTTCTCAATTAGGGTAGGTCTTTAAAATTATCGCATATATCAGTAGAAAGAAATAAAAATAATTCCTAAATTTCTGCATCCCAAGTACTTGAAGTCTACTGTATCTATTTTCCCCCTTTCAGGTGATATTAGACAGTTACCCAGCATTGAGCCTGGTAACTTGCTGCAAGATCTTTTTGAAACTCTTAAGATAAGAAATTGTGCTATTGAACTAAAGACAAACCATAGAGCAGAATCTGAGCTAATTGTGGACAATGCTACAAGGTATAATATAACTAACATTTTGCGTTTTCTCTTTGTTGTATTAGAAATAAAAGGTTAAAAAATACATATTAGTTTTTGAATTAGGGTGATTCAGTGCAGTACATTTATTAAGCCCTTTTAGCAAAAACAGTATATACCTCTTTGCCTCACAATTAAAAAAAAAAAAGGTTAATATTTTTCATTACTGGTCCAGTAATGAACTTTAAGAATGAATGTGTTTTCTTGGTTTAAAAAGTATACATGTTAAATAAAGTTACATCAGGCTTAGTGACTAGAATGAGCCCAAGGGGAACACAGAGACTTAGAAATGAGTCTCGAGTTCAGGGGAGAATTGGGGAAACAATTTCCCATAATTTTTGTAAGAGAGCCCAAAGCAAAATAAATGGATATGGCATTTTACTCTCTGATGAATTTTGGTGGCATCCATGGCATATTCCTCTCCTTAAAGTAGAAGATAACCTTTCTTTTCCCTTAGTCTTTGCACAAGTTTTTAGAGTGATCTTCTGAAGTGGATGTTATGGGACCGCAGATCACTGAGAGACTGTTTTATTCATGGGACAAAATTTATCTTTGTTTTGACCCTTTTTTACAAGGTGTTGTTTTTGTTGCTTGAACATTTCCTTGGCTGGATATCAGCAGAAACGAGAACATTAAAACCTGCTTTCTCCATGCCCCTGTCTACCCTGGATAGGATAGTGGGAGCAGAGGAAGAATTTATAGGAATAGGGTAGGTGATGTAGGCTTATATTAAAACATTAAGAAAAATAATGCAATTGGGTGAGTAACATTCTTTTCCTATAACATTTCTGCTCATCCGGGGGATGTTGATAGATGATTGGTCATTTTAAAGTCTAAAAATCTTAGAATCTAAAGCACATTAGATTCCTCAGAACTCAATTTTATCTGAGATTTTGGAATGCCTTGTGGTAACCCTTATGATATCATTTGGGCTGAGCTGTGCTCCTTTCATCACTTCTTTTAAGTCCTCATCACCAGATATTTAATGACAGAAAGATCCCAGTGATACCAGGGGATGATAGCTCCTTCAGATAGAAATATGTTACATGTCCTGGGTCAGAGGCAAAATAGGAAAGTCCTGGTGATTCTCAGTCCCCTGGAAATTAGAGCTGGGATGTTTCTAGCAGGGACAGCGGTCTTCGCTCTCCTTCTTCCCTTTCAGCTTGTTGGGAGGGGATGAAGATGACACAGGAGAGTAGCACTGCCTTCCATAGCCAGGGAGTCAGTCGTCTTCCAACGAGAGACTGTTATGTCAAGGCACCTTCCCCTTACTCTGTTTTCTGGTATAATTTGCTGGTCTTGGGAAACACAGTGCTGAAGAGAGATGAGGTAGATACTAGAAGCAAAGAGAAGATGAGGATACTTGGCTCAACTGGGAAAACGAGGCCAGATATATATAATATACAGTGGAACTTCGGTTCTCGAACTGAATTCATTCTGGAAGGCTGTTCGAGAAGTGATTTGTTTGAAGCCCAAATTGTTTTTTTTTTTCCATTAGAAATAATGCAAATTGAATTAATCCGTTTCAGACCCCCAAATGATTCCCTGTTTTAACCTTTCTTATATACAGTACATGTCTAATATACTGTTTAATCTATAAACAAACACTTCTATTCTTAAATGTATAGAACCGCTCCCTACTAGCCTTAAACGAACACCTTCAGCACTTCTTCTGAACTGGGCTATTTTAAAAATCAAACTCCGTACTGATCAGTTATTCCTGCACATAAACACACAAGCAGTTTTCTTTTTATCCTCACCCGAGGATATTTTTCCATTTTTTGTACAGATAGAGTGGGAGGGAGAGAGAGAGAGAAACATCGACGTGAAGGGACACATCGAGTGGCTGCCACCCGCACGACCAACCAGGGCTGGGGACAAACTGCAACCGAAGTGTACGCGCCCTTAGCGGGAACCGAACCCGGGTCTCTCGGGACCGCAGGCCGACGCTCTAACCGCTGAGCCAAACTGGCCAGGGCACACAAGCAGTTTTCTAAAAACACAACAAACCCTGGGGCTGACACCAGAGGAACCATAAAGATAAGGGGTTAATGATAGCTTTGGGAGACTTGGAGGGACCGGGAAAAAAAAAAGAAAAAAGAAAAGAAAGAAAGAGAGTAATGATTGCCCTAACCCTTACAACCGACCCCCTCTTCTCTGGAGAAGCCTGTATCAGTCACAACACCAATTAAGCGGAGCCCGGAGGAATGTAGGTTTTTTTCTTTGAATGTAGTTTTTTCTGTCTTTTGTTCCTGTATAAGCAAAGAACAAAGGAAGCTGGGGGCTGGGATTTGGGAGATCCCCCCAGCCCTCTGGGGTAATGAAGTGCTCCTTAACAATGGGCTGTGAGGCTCAGGTTATCTGGCTGACACATTCCAACACCTCAAGGGGTGCAGCACCTCGCCTTTTCACCTCACGGCCTTTGAAAGGCTGGCGCCCGCCAACTGCTTCTCACTTCTCCAAATCGACAACGGTTTTTCTGCCTCTTCAGCGGCCTGTGATCCTTGTTTCTTGAGCACTCACACCCTGAGCGACATGCCTCTTGATGTTTGGAAATTGTGCTCACTGTCTATTTCACCAGCCAGAAAAGCAGAAAACCATGAAAATATTCACAGCGCGATTTCCTGAGGAGTTTAGTGGTGAACTAACTGGCATTCTCTCCTTTGTGGCTTGAGAGAGGCTTTTTGTCATGCTGACCTATCAGCAGGAAAGGGTTGTCAGGGCAGGACCTGAAGTTTTGTTCCAAAATGGAGTCATTTGCGTGTGTGTGTGAGTGTGTGTGTGTGAACAACTTGGTCGAGAACCGGATTGAGATGGGAGAGGTTTGAGAACCGAGTCTTGACTACACAGAAGAAAAGAAAGAGTAAATGTGTGGATAAAGCTCCAAAGAGTCCAGACTAATTTAAATAGAAAAGAATATGGAGCCCAGGGGGCCCAGAAGGGCTGCCTAACTCGTTTCCTGCCTCTGTGGCCATTATGGTCTTGCTAAATTTATTTTAAAACTCATTTACTATGTGTAATGCATATATGAATAGCCTGCTTGCCCTATTTATCTATTAGCAGATCTTCATTATTGTAAGGACATTATCTCTGATTATATGTAAAGATATGCTTTTGGATATTAAGGTTCTTGGTGTGTCATTTTACCTTTTTTAAGAATCTCAAACCGCCAGTTTCCAAAATTTGATGCAGAGCTGATTGTCTCTGATGATCCAACATTCCCTGTCTCAGTCCAAGATAAAACGTTTATTTTTGTGAGACTCCCAGAAGAGGATGGTAGTTCTCAGTCAGCGAAAAGTAATCATCACTCTCGTAAGTATAAACTGGGTTATGTATTTCAGTTTTGTAATGTAGTTATTAAATGACTAGTTATAATGTTTTTTGATGGTAAAGATAAGTATTGCTGGTTAAAAATTAGGCACTGAAACTATTAATCATCAAAAGCAGATTACCCTAGAATTTTGTAAGGGTTAGTAATTTCTTGTCACATACATACCAAAGGCTCAGTACATATTTGTTGAGTGAATACATGGATGCAGATGATTAGTTTAAAATAAAGCAGAGCTCCAGTAATCCGAGTTTATTCAGAAGAAAGCATGTCTCAATGAAGTTTTTCTTTCATAGCAGTTGGGAAAGTAAATTTGTTATTTTGAGGATATTTGTGAAACAAAAGCAATGGCTGTCAGCTGTTGCCAAGTTGAGTCCTAGTATTTCAGTCCTATTTCCTATTAAATGGACAAGCATCACTTCTAATTGTGGGTGTTAGGATGACACCGTGACAGGGCTGAGAAAGAGCATGGGGTGGGAACTCGCTACCCTTATGTGTATGGTCCATGTCACATCCCTTAGTCATTTGTAAAAGGGAGTCAGAGGGACAGTGCCCGTGGAGCTGTTGTGAGGGTTGGGGCCTTCATGAGATTTGAGGCACTATGGACATTTTAGGTTTTTTTGAAATGAAGATTAAATTATCTATTGCAAATGAAACTATTTAAATAGATTGAACCTTTTTGATCTTTATTTCTAGTGTAAACTAACTCAGAAAACCTTTTTTAATAGTGTGATGGTTTATTCAAATTGAAAGTAAAGATGTAAATGATTATTATTGAGGATTTATCTTAATTGTTCTTAAAGGTATATCTTTCCTACCTAGCGACTTTCACTCTGTGTGTGACATTAAGTGACACAGAACTTTATCTGTAAGGCTTTCTTCCTTTGTGTGTGTCACCAGTCTAAGTTCCCTTGGATCAGTATTCATTCACATGTTACAATGTCCTGTTTTCTTTTTAATACATAGTCTCCTATAATACCTTTTTTTTTTATCCTCACCCGAGGACATTTTTTCATTTTTTGTTTGTTTAGATAGAGCGGGAGGGAGAGAGAGGAAGAGAGAGAGAGAAACATCGACATAAAAGGTATACATCGAATGGCTGCCACCCGCACGACCAACCAGGGCCGGGGACAAACTGGAACCGAGGTACATGCCTTTAGCGGGAACCGAACCTGGGTCTCTAGACCACAGGCCAACTCTCCAACCGCTGATCCGAACTGGCCAGGGCCCTTTTGTTTTTTTGATATAGAAATAATTTATATGTATATTTTTTTAAAAAGTCAAATGATAGAGAAGTATTTGAAGTAAAAATTAATATTTTCCTGTAATCTTCCTTTGTCTCTTCCCCTGAGACAATCCCATGAAGGTCACAGGCATAGTGAGGGCGTGGTGTTTATCTTTTTAAACATTATATCCAAACACATACATTGTCTGTTTTGGTTTTACATAAATTGGACTATAAGCAGCAGACTTTTGTGATTTTTAAAAAAAACCTAAATATATTGTGAATGAAGAATAGATAATATTTATTGTCACAACAGCCTAGTTAATGTAGGTACTAGTACAGATGAAGAAAACGAGACTTGGATGGTTCAGGAACTTGGCCTCTGCCACTCCAGTCAGACCTACCTCAGATATGGCGGGTTTCTGGCACCCATTCTTTTTTTTTTTTTTTTTTTTAATCCTCATCCGAGGACATTTTTCCATTTTTTGTACAGACAGAGTAGGAGGGAGAGAGAGGAAGAGAGAGAGAGGGAAACATCGATGTGAAAGGGACACATCGAGTGGCTGCCACCCGCACGACCAACCAGGGCCGGGGACAAACTGCAACCGAGGTACATGCCCTTAGCGGGAACCGAACCCGGGTCTTTACGGACCGCAGGCGGACGCTCTAACCGCTGAGCCAAACCGGCCAGGGCTTGGCACCCATTCTTTACAGGAGTGAAAATATGCTCAAAAATATTGTCTGCTTCAGAGTGCTAGCAAAGCTTAACTGATGCTATTTTTCTATCTTAATTACAAACTTCAGCTGGAAAACTAGTCTCTTTTTAAAGATAATTGAATAAATATTCCTTAGAGAGGCATAATGTACTTTATCATTAGTGATTAATTAAGTTGTTGGGTCAATTATTCCCATTGTTGCAGAATACAAAGACCTAAGACAGGCCTCGTAGCTGGGTTAGAATTTTAGAGATGTTAAAACGTGAGAAAAGCACATATTTTAGAATCAAATGAAAGATAGTCAAACTATTTACTAGCTGGTAGGGTGTAGTCACTCTTGGGACGGATGCCTCTGCTGTGCCAGGGTTGACTTTTTAGTTGCTGAGTCGTGGGGAGGCCTTGGCACTCGGGGGGAAGGAAAGGCCTGATTGGAATGGGGGCGGGGCATTGCGGTGTTTGGGCAGTAACTGTCTTCCAGCCATTGTATATCAGTATTTTGTACTAGTATGTATTCACTAAATGTCAGCCTTGGACATAATAATAATGTGTGTCTCATATGAGAATTATGAAGATGAAATTAAATGAAATAATGGGCAGAGCAATTCTCAAATTATAACTCATTACTGCTAGTATCACCAGAACTTAAAACAGAAAGAAGTCTTGCATTAGTAATTCTGTTGCATATTTTGCCCTCTTGCTCATATTTTAAATTCAGCATTCACAAACCATCAGTGAACATACAGTGATTGTGTTACAGATCAGGAGCTGTCCAGGCCTGAGGCTGACCTCTCAGTTGCGTACAGGGTGTCTGGAACCCCTGTCTCTCTTCTCTCTTCTGTTTCTGTGACTGACAGGGAATGAGGTTGATGATCCTGCGGTGAACTTATACTCCATCTGGCGAGGTGTTTCTCTGCTCCCTGCACCCTTAGCAGCAATTCTGAATTTATTTCTCCACTGTTGTGATTTGGTGCTTTTCCATGTTAACTTTTTTCTCTTGAATTGTCAGATTTATATTCTGCTGTTAAAACTTTACTCAATGAAAAGGACCTACAGCGAGCAGACACATCACAATTTATTGCATTTAGAAGGTAAAGCATTTGCAGTATTTTAATGTCTTTGCTTTAGCTTTTAAATATTATTACTTCTTAATATAGATACTGTGTGAAGGAGAGTCTCTGGTTTTTATTTTTTCTTTATTGATTTTTGAGAGAGGGGAAGGGAGAAGAAGAGAGTGATAGAAACATCAATGAGAGAGAACATTGATCGGCCGCCTCCTGCATGCCCCCCACTGGGGATCAGGCCCACAACCTGGGCATGTGTCCCGACCAGGAATTGAACTGGTGACCTTTTGGTGCATGGGTCGACACTCAACCACTGAGCCACACCGACCAGGCGAGTCTCTGTTTTTAATTCTCACCCAAGGTTGTGTTTTTATTGATTTTAGAGAGAGAGAGGAAGGAGAGGGAAGGAGGGGGAAAGAGAGAGAGAGAGAGAGAGAGAGAGAGAGAGAGAGAGAGAGAGAAACATTGATATGAGAGAGAAACATTGATATGAGAGAGAAACATTGATCAGTTTCCCCGACTGGGGATCGAACCCACAACCTGGGTATGTGCCCTGATTGTGAATCGAACCTGTGACCTTTCAGTGTACAGGATGACGCTCCAACTGACTGAGCCACACAGGGCAGAATGAGAGTCTCTTCTAGTTTCATACTATTAATCCTCTCTCTTATTTTGAGGTATTTCATTGTCAGACATGCGGAGGGCAGTTTTTATATTTGGAAACTCACAGAAACTTAACGGAACAAGGGTTTCTGTTAAGATCAAATTTACAAAACATTTCTTTCTGGACAAAGTTCTGGAGACTTTTATAGAATCCAGTATGTCATATTGTTGATAACAGAAACAAACACAGAACAGATACCATGAAGGTGACCACTGCATCTTGATGTGTTTCAGGCAAGACTGTGACGTCATCAACGAGTGCTGTGGCAAGCACTACACAGGCCGCCTAATCAAGTGAGCACCAAAGACGGAGGCTGGGGGCGGTCCTTCCTGATCCGCTGTGCCTTCGTTTGTTTCGACATTTATCACTATAGCCCCATATTTAAAAATCTTTTTTTTTTTCCCTCATTTGTGAAGTAAGATGATCTCTTCAATGAAATATAATATAGATCCATAGGAATTGACTTTTTGGTAACCAGTGTAGTAAAGAAGATAAGGAATAAAAGTTGCGTTGTGATTTCCAGGTTGGCGAACTGCAGCTTCTCCATGATGAGCATGGAGAATTCAGGAGACATTTTCAAATTATGAGATGTGTGTAGTGTGTCCGAGAACTTGAGCAGCAGGCTGCCTGCGGAGAGCACCGTAGTGAACGTCGATCAGAGAAATATAAGTGTAGAAAAGCCACTCCATTTACACACGAGAAAATCAAAGCGCATATATTGCATTCATCAACAATTACTATTTATTAAGTGTAGAGAACCCAGAGATGTGTTAGTTAAGAGAAGACACACCAAAAAAAAAAAAAATCATGTGAGGTAGCCTACCAGAGTTTAAAAGCAGATTGGGGTCATGCAACCTGGGTCCCAGTGACTGTGATCCTGGGCAGGTAATTTCACCTTTCCATGTGTGTGAAAGGGATTACTCAGACTCTTCTCCTAGAGTTGTAGTAAGGATGAAATGAAATAATATACCTAAGGCACTTATTGCAGGAACTGGTGTATTGCCAGCATTTATTTAGTTTGCTGCAATTATTTTAATGTTTTAATTATTATCCTAGAAATATGTGTAAGTGCAATAAGACCTGAAATAGGGTTGTGATAGAGTGATTGCAGAGGAGAGGATGAATTTTAAAGGTACAATCAATAAGATATTTGGTAACCTTTAGAATATAGAGGGAAAGAGAGATCCACATTTATGCCAAGATTTCTAACAAAAAATTTGGCTGGGCAGTGGTCTTGAGTTTGAGGTGGTGCAGAGAGTATAGGCGACCAGACCACACCGGTGGGAGCCAGATTTCTTGTTGAACTTTGGAGAACAAAAGTGGAGTAAGAAAAACGTGGAAATTATTTTGAGCATTGGATTGGATCTGAGTAGGAATTAATGTTTAAACCTAATGAAAGTAAGGTTTTCCAAACTTGATGTATTACCATTTTCTAACCCAGAGACCATCAGAATAGACTTATATTTGGAGTTGGAGATAAAATTTGTTGTACCAGGAATGCATATCTCTCGGACTTACTGCCTGAAAATACCTCTAGCAGTCAGCAAAATAATGAACTAGAGGGCAATGGTGAAGACTACAACAGTACTCCTCATGGTGTTAATAAAAATAAGCATGACTTTGCAAGTGATATTCGACTATGCAATGGAGAAATATTTTTCATAACAAATGTAAGTGATAACAGAAAAATAGCACTTTTTTTTTTTTACCTATTAGAGATAGATTTGTATTTTTCTTAAATTGCCCTAGGATTGATTCAGAATCCACTCATATCAGAGTTTACATTCTGCTTCTATTATTTTTTATTAGGGATTTTTGCATTCATGCTTAAGGGATATTGGGTGTAGTTTTCTAGTAATGTGTTGTCTGATTTTGTTGTCAGAGTGATGCTGTCTTCATAAAACGAATTGGGAAATGTTCCTTTCTCTTATGTTTTCTTTCTTTCTTTTTTTTTTTTATCCTCATCCGAGAACATACTTAGAGAGAGGAAGGGAGAGAGAGAGAGAAACATCGATTGGTTGCCTTCCATAAGTGCCCCTATCTGTGCACTGAATCTGCAACCCAAGGATGGGCCCTGACCGGGAAATGAACTGGCATCCTTCCTGTGCACAGGACAATGCCCACCTGAGTCACTCCCGCCAAGCTCTTACATTTTCTAGAAGACTTTGTGAAAAAACATTTTTAATAAGTCTGAAGTGCTTGAGTAACAAAAACAAGGGACAAATGACACTCATATTTTACAAAGCATCATTTCCTTGGTTACTGCTTAAGTATGGGAACTATAGAAGTAGTCACCTTGAATTTGTTCTCATTGTATAAACACCCTCTTAAACTTATAAACTTATTCTTTAAAGGCTGTGAGGAAAGGTGTTTTTTACAAAGAATATATGCAGACTTAAAAAGAATATATGTCAGTACAAGAAATAAAATGTGTAGACTTCAAAGTAAGAAAGACAACACCGACTTTTCCAGAGTGTCAAATTTGGTTAAGTGCCATTTGTGTCTATTAAAATATTTGTGTGTGTGTGTATTCAGTTTGTGCTCAAGCATAGATCTTAAGCCTTTTGAAATTTTTTTATCCTCACCCGAGGACATTTTTCCCCCCATTTTTTTGTTCAGAAAGAGTGGGAGGGAGAGAGAGGATGAGAGAGAGAGAGAAACATCGACGTGAAAGGGACACATTGAGTGGCTGCCACCCGCCCGACCAACCAGGGCCGGAGACAAGCTGCAACCGAGGTACGTGCCCTTAGCGGGAACTGAACCTGGGTCTCTCTGAACCACAGGCCAATGCTCTAACCGCTGAGCCAAACCGGCCAGGGCTGAAATTCTTAACACTTGTAATGAATACACAGGCTATTTTACTTATAAGGTACTTGCATTTGATGCTGAGTCAGCAGTAGAACGTCTTTGCAGTGTGCAGGTTTGAACACATACAAAATGGTTCTTTGTTTTGGTGACAGGATGTAACTGTTATAACTTTTGTGAAGAGAAGATTTTTGACCATTAACAATATGGCTGGCTTGGAAGTAACTGTGGATTTTGGGAAACTAGTGAAACATTGTCGCATAAGACATGCATGGGCAAAAACTATTCACACTTTTCAGGTAAGAATGGAATTTATGAAGTGATTTAAATAGCTTGCCAGGCCATAGAATTCCTTGTATTAATTTCTTCCTAATTTTTATTGCTTTTATTTATTTTTTAATTAGAAAACAAAATGCACAGAAGTACAGAAAATGCTCTACAGACATAAACCTTATACTCTTTTGCTTTAGAGCTCTCTGTTTAGGAACTAAGACATCACAGTTACAGCCTCGTCCTTCAGGCCTCCCCTTCCCACCAGGGATAGAGGGTCGGGACCAGCGGGACTGCATCTGCCTCTTGGTCAGTCTCCAGTGTCGCTTGGCGTGGCACTGTTACCGATCTTGTCTTTATTTAAAATTTTGATATTTTGCTCATCATGGATCTTTTCTGGTTTAAATTTAAAAAAATGTTTTTAATCCTCACCCAAGGACATTTTTGCATTTATTTTCAGATAGAGTGGGAGGGAGAGAGAGAGAAGAACAGAGAGAGAGAAACATTGATGTGAGAGAGACACACTGAGTGGTTGCCACCCACACGACCCCAACCGGGGCCAGGGACAAACTGCCACTGAGGTATGTGCCCTTGGCGGGAACCGAACCCAGGACTCTCCTGTCCACGGGCTGGTGCTCTAACTGCTGAGCCAAACTGGCCAGGGCTCTGGTTTAAATTTTTTATTTTTAAAAATATTATATTAAAATATTACTTATCTTGATTGCTGAATTTCTTGACAACCTCTTAAATTTTATGTCCTAAGCAAGTGCTTCACTTATTCTCCCCTTGTCCCCTGCAGAAGTGACTTCTGCTCTGAATTCGTCCATTCATACGAAACAAGGTCACCAAGGTGTACACAGATGGTATTGTAATGCTTATAGATTTTTTTCTGACTTGCTTATTTTTTTATTTAGCCAACAATTATTGGAGTATAATTTGCATACACATTTTAATTATAAAGTTGGGTGACTTTTGACAAATGTATCCCCTTTCTCCGCCCTTACAAGGCAACCACTTTTTATTTGGTAATCATTTTAGATTTACAGAAGAGTTGGGAAGAAAGCACAGAGAGTTCCCCTATACCCTTCACCCAGCTTTCCCTAATGTTAGCATCTTAAATAGTTTTGGTATTTATTAAAAAGAAATTACTGTCAGTACAATGCTATTAACTAAACTTTATATTTGGATTTCAACAGTTTTATCGGTATGACATTTTTCTGTTCTAGGACCTAATCCTACTTTGCATTTAGTGCAATGTATTTTTAAGCTCTATTTTAATTTTCTTGAATTTTCATAAGTTATTGGTGGCTTTGTTGTTTATCTCATTGTTTTGAGCTCCCCTCTCTGATGTTAGAATGTTGTTTTAATTATGAAGTTGCATCGACCTCCATTTTTATGCAGAAGAATTTAGGTCTGCCTATATCCTCTACTCGTAGGCAGACATTAATAAGTGCAGGATTTTTATTTTTTAATTGAATGGTGTTGTATTTAACTTACCCATCTCAGTTCCAAAAATAATTTGAAATGGTTACAGAAATGCCCACAATTCAGCATGATTTTTAAAAGAGATAAAGAAAGGATATCAAGTGGAAAATAAAGGTAAGGATGGCAAAAGGATTCCTGCCAGGAGTGGGTTAGAATGCTTATATATACATCAACCTATTTGCTTGCTAATGTAGACTGCAGACGTGGCCATAGGTTCCCCAAACAAGATGAACAGTCAGTTGACTCTGTCTATTGGACTAAAAAAAACCAGCCACCACCAGTTATTGGATGCGCAGTATTTCTGGCTGTGAGATCCTGGAGAAATTTCTCCCATGGTCTCTGTAATTCTGAAAACTCATTCATTTCTGGGAAATTTTCTTGAATAATTTCATTAAGATCTCTTGTTCCAAGTTTTCTCTTTCTAGAACCTCTGTTATGTTGGAACTCCAGAAGTGGTTATCTCAATTTCTTATCAGTCTTTTATTTTCCAACTCATTATCATTTTGCTATATTTTCTCAAATTGATAGTCCAGTCTTTCCGTTACATTTCTGGGTAAGTGAAGAGTGGAGGGGTCATTATGATTGGCGGGCTGAGGTCAGAACCTGGCTCTGACTCCATTGCTGACATAGCATCTCTTACCTCTGAGAACACCCGTGATCATCTTACATCGGCAGGGCCGAAGTTGCCTCTTGAAGGGCCACAGGGGCCATATTAAGAAGGTGGGACTTTGAGAGCCTGGGAGCCATTAGTGGGTGTTCAGCAGAGCCTGATGTGATTGAATTTGCATGTTACAAACGTCGCTGTAGCTGCTGTGAGGACAGTGGGTTGTAGTGAGTGAGTACAGGCAGGCCGGTGATGCCGCTGCAGATGTTTCTCAGTGTGGCTTCACTGACCGGTAGGAGCTCGGTTAGCTACGTTGCGGTAGACGTTCCCTTGTCTGGGGATACAGTGTGAAGCCCCAGGGAGCAGTGGTGCTGAGCACCCGCTGAATGTATTGGCATTTCTGTAATCAAGTATCATTTAAGTTAGTTTCTGAGACTCAGCAGCACGGGAAGGATTAGTCAGACTTTTACCATCTGAAGAGTTGGTTCAAACGCCCTCGTCTGGGGAGATAGAAGTGTTTGCTGTGTACAGGGTTGTTTTGTTTGTCCTCGCTGTGAATCCGGATTTCCTCCCTGCCCATCTGTCGTTTGTGTCCCACGGGTCTTCCCGCAGAGGAATGTGGGGGCTGTAGGGGAAGTGATGGTTCGCACCACTTCTTAGTTCATGTTGGCGGGACTAAGAATAGCTATGGAACTTGGCACTTTTCTTCCAGTTACATGGTGATGTTGGGCATTTTTCTTGCCTGTACCATTCTTGGCTCAACTTAAAAAGCAAAGGTTCATTGTTCTCTTTTGCTTATCTTGAAAAAAGCAATAAATGGTCCAACAATGGGAAAATACAGAAAAGTAGAAGGAAAAAAATTATCCATAGGCCCTTCATTTTGGAGACAGTATAGTTATAATTTTGATTGAATTGCTTTCTTTTTTGTGGTTTGTTTTGTCACATATTTATGTTTATTTTGTAGGTAATTATTTGAATCGGAGTAATTTTATTTTGTGTTACATAGTTGTGATATATATAAAGAGAGCCAGTTTTTAAGTTTTTGTCATTTTTAAAGTATCCTTGATGTTTGTAAAGTATAATATCAAATATTTATATGAGATACATGATATAAATATATATAAGTAAATACATATATTCTCTTGCCACTGGATATTTAGGGTGTCTATTTTTTTGTAATCTAAACTAAGTGTGGGATAATGCATTTACACACAGAGCTCATATCAACATTGTAAATTATTTTATTGTTTGGGTCTGCACACAGACCTTAAAGTTAATTTCTGGGTCTCACAAGCCAGTCGTAGATCTGTGATACCTGAAGTTCGCAGCACCCTTAGAAAACATGAGCTCTTGGGTCATGAAGAAAATGGACCCCATACGTGTGCACAGTCTGGCCGGGTAGTAGGTGCTTGGGAGGACTTGTCTCTTCTCTCCTCTTAGGCCGAAGACCTAAACCTGTCACGCAGCATTAAGTTTGATGCGTTGTTCCCTGTCAGGGGTCCGAGGAGCAGACGGTGGTGTACGTGGTCGGGAAGGCGGGCCGCCAGGACTGGCAGCACGTGTACACCGCGGTGACCCGGGGCCGCTGCAGAGTGTACGTCATTGCAGAGGAGGCTCATCTCCGGAGCGCCATTTTGAGGAACAATGTTCGCAGAAAAACTCGTTTGAAACACTTTTTGCAAAACGAGCTCTCCACGAGCTGTGCATCTCCAGCAGAATTTGCATCCCCGTCCAAGGGCTCTGGAGACAGCGGAGGACCCGGCACACAGCCGTCAGCATCACTGCGCCCTCCAGCCACAGCTGACATCGTCACAGACGGCGTCCCCAGAAGCCAGGCCTCTGCGGCTGAGGATGAGACATTCGCCTCTGCAGCTGGTGGCTGGAGATGGCCTCCCTCTGACGAAGCGGATGGAGGCAGAGATCCATCCCAAGCGCGAGGGTCCAAACGAACCTGCGTCACGAATGATGCTGAGAGTCCCAACAAAGTTCTCATGGTAGGAGTGATGTTCTCGTGTGCCGAGCTTTACGTAAACATCGCTCACTTCAGTGTGCTGGTGTGTACTGGGTTCTGTGTGTTGTTCGCGGGCTGCATTGCACCGTAGGATGTGAAACAAGTGTTCTCGTGCCTGTCAGATGTCCCCTCTCCCGTGCCCTGCTGATCCTGGTGGTGTCTCACTCGCCCCAGCTGGCACTCGGGCAGCTCAGCAGTGGGCTTCCCCGAGAAGCTCTCTGTCTCCTGCACGTTCTTCCTGCACCTCTCCGTTCACCCTCCCCTCCCCTTTCTGGGCCGCAGTCTCACTGTTACCCTCACAGCCCATCGCAGTGGCTGGTTCCAGTCTTGTCAACTGGAGAGGCCTTTCCTGAGGTCTCGTTGGTGCTTTTCCCTGACAGTTCCAGTAGTTTTAAATGCTGCAGCTGTTTCCAGTTTTAGATCCTCATCTCATCTTCTTGGATGGTTCTGCCCTGGCTACCTTCTCCAGTACACCCTACACATCGTTACCAAATCCACCCCCTAAGTGCTCAGCTCGTTCCTGTGGCTCAGAGCCTTCGGTGGCCTCTCGTGCCCACAGCGTGAGTTCTAGACTACCGAGCTCGGCACCGGGACCTCTCATAGGTGATGCCAGCTGTCTGAGCATCGGCTTATCTCCCACGGCCCCCTTTCTGCGTTGGTCACGCTAGTCTCCGTGCACGGACGGGAACCAAACTGACTCTCATTTCTTCCTTTTGGCTTTTGCTGTGCGACTGGTACTGGATGCCTTGTTCCCGCTGTCCCCCCCCCCCCCCTTTAGCATTTGAAAAATATTTGGAACCTCTTCTAGTCACTGATCTAAATGTGGAGGGAGGAAGACAGACCCGCCTCTGGCTTTGTGGACATTACAAGCTACCAATAGGTCATAGGCAGTAAATACGAACAAAATAAAATTTTCGGATCAAGAACGATTCCATGATGAAAATCAAGGTAGTGAGGTAGGGAATGGGGGGGGGGGGGGAGGCAGCAGGAGGCCCCTCTGCCATGGTGGACAGGTAAGGCCTCACTAGGGGGTGAGCCGAGCAATGAACGGCAGCGGGAGGCTCAGAGAACGTGTCCTGGCAGAGGGTGTAGAAGGTGCAAAGCCGAAGGGGCCGGACTGCTGGAAGGGGAGGCAGGCTGCGTGCCCTGAAGAGCAGGGCGTGGGCGATGGTGGTGGAGCGAGCGCAGCGCTGCGGGAGGAGTGGGATTTCTCGCAGTGGGATTTCTCGCAGTGGGAGTGCATGGCGTTTCAGGCAGGGGGGACACCATCTGATGCGTGCCTAGCCTCCGGTGCGTGGAGGGTGCACTGCAGAAGGAAGGTGGAAGCAGGGAGAGCCGTCAGGAGGTTTTCCCAGGGAAAGTCCCGTGAAAGAGCAGGGGAGGGGGTTTGGTTCCTGATGCATCCGCGGATGGAGTTGATAGGACTTGCCGATTAGATGTGAGGGGGTCAAACTAAAAGTAATCCAGATGGTTTCTGGATTCTGGCCGAAACAACTTGAATAGTAGTGCTGCCTCTTGAGGGGACAGGGGCTGGAGAACTGGGTGAAGGGGGCTCCCGAGAAAGCCAGGGTTGGCGGAGGCGTTTAGAACCTCAGGGTGGACAGGGGTGGGCAATGTCCATGTGGGAGTCATTCACATGAAGTGGCCATTAAAGGACAAGGAGACTTAATTTCAGGAGACACCACAGGCAGAGGATACTCCCAACTCTTAGAGGTCTGGCAGAGGGGGAAGAACTAGCAAAGGGGAAAGGCACCTGAGAGAGAGAAGGAAAACCAGGGTGGAGGGAGGGATGGAAAGCTGCTCAGAGTGTGCTGGAGAGAGAATCGGAGGTGAGTGCGTGGGGGAGGGGAGGGGGCGAGCGTGGGGGAGCCGAGGGGGCGAGCGCGTGGGGGGGCGGAGGGGGCGAGCTCGTGGGGGGGCGGAGGGGGCGAGCGCGTGGGGGGGCGGAGGGGGCGAGCGCGTGGGGGGCGAGCGTGGGGGAGCCGAGGGGGCGAGCGCGTGGGGGGGGGGGCGGAGGGGGCGAGCCCGTGGGGGAGTAGGGAGGCAGAGTTTCTGAAGAAGGTCGCTATGTAAAGAAGCAGAGAGAGGGTTGTGTCTGGATGGAGGGCTTGTGGTCAAGGGAGGGTTTCTTTCTTTATTTTGGATGAGTCCATCAGAGCATCCTAGGGTGTTGCGGGAAAGGTCCAATGGAGAACAAGAAATCCATGATGCAGAGACAAGGGCGTAACCGCAGGAATGGTGTCCTGAAGTGGGTGAGATGGGAAAATGAGTCTAAGTAGAGGTGTTGCCATTAGACCCAGTCGGGGGTAGGGGCTCTTCCATGGCAGCCGGTGGGAGCGGGTGCAGGACATCGGGGGTTCAGAGGAGGGGAGGTGAAGTTGTCCTCGGCTGATGACCCATCTGACCTCTGCGCAGTAGAGTCCAGCTTGGTTTCTCTTTTGTTCGTGAAAACCTCCCTTTCTCTGTACCAGCACCTCTCTCCCCTGTAGGGACAGCACTTGTAACCAGTTTGACTCTAAATCAGACTTCTTGAGGTCAGCATGCTAATTACATGATAACAGCTCAGAAATTCTTAGTGGTTAAATTATTAGTTATGAATATGTGGCATTCTTTGAAAAAATTGGATCTTCAGAGCATCAGTCTTTCATGCGTGCTCAAGTCACATTTATTCTGTAGCCCCTCCCCCCCAATTTGAGAATCACTTTTAGAGGCAATAAAAGATCCTTTTGAGTGTTTATAAGGGAAGCACACTTCTGTTGAGACCTATTTTGGTTTTTAGAAATAATCCAAAGTCATTTGTTTCAGTTTTGTGAATTAGATGATCCAATTTGGAGAATACCATTTTGTGATTTAAAAGGAAAAAAAAGGTTGGATTATAAATGATGTCCAGAAGTCCCCGCGGAAGCTTGAGTGACTTCGTGCTGGTGGCAGACTTGTTGGGGTGAGGCTTGGGGCTTCCAAGGCTGGTAGTGAGGATGGGCTGGCCTGGTCACTGTGGGCGCCCGTAGGGGAAGGTGCTCACAGAGCCTGCGTGTTCACCTGAGTTCAAGGGAGAAACATCTGACTTCTGACCCCACGGGGATCTGAGACAGTCAGTTCTCTACGAGTGCGCTTGCAGAGGGAGCAGTGAGTGCCGTATTGGCACATCCCGAATGAGAAGTGTATGTAGAACAGTGCGGCTGGAGCCCAGCCTGGGGGTGGGTGGGGGCGGGGCGGGTGCTGAGCCAGGCCACTGGAAGAGTCAGGAGAGCCAAAGCCTCTTCTAAAGAGATGGTACATTCTTCCATAGCCTCGGAGGAGCACGAGAAGCATCTTAAGAGCTCTGTGGATAGAAATTATGAAGGTGACTTGGACTGGAGTCTAGCAGATTATGGTTAGAGACCAGGGGATGGAGTTCCCAGCAAAAAGACGATTTGATAGCTTGTAGAAAATGATTGCGCTCTAAGATCAGGTAGTAGCAACTGGGGTGGAGAAGAGATGCTAAGGGTGTATAGTTGATGGGACTTCCTGGTCAGATGTTGGTACAGGTAGAGTCAGACCTGAAGATGATTCCTAGGCTTCTGGCTTGGACATCCAGGTGGATGCTATAATCCGGATTGGGGAAAGAGGCCGAGGGACAGGTTTGGTGGGGAAGGTGATAAAGTTGGATATAGTGGGGGGAAAAGTGTTTCTTTTTTCTTGGAAGTATTAGGGTCAGTACTGACCAGTTTCATTCTGTGCTCCACATCAACTCCTGGATATGGAGTTTCCATCTCAGCAAAACATTTTTTCCCCTGAAATTAAATGTATTTACTCTTACTGTGGAATAAATATGGCTTTGACTGGAGAAGAAAAGCAAGGCAATTCCAAAGAAAGAGTCTCTAGAAGTGTCTGGCTTTGAGTAGCTCAGCACGGACATGGGATGGGAGCTGTGGTTTATGGGTGCTGCACGGGGAAGTGGCAGCGTTGTCCAGCTTCTGTCCTGAGCTGGCCAAACACTGAGCTCTGGCCAACGTCGCAGGAGATCCATGAACACAGAGTCTGTGGGGGGCCCAGGGCTCACTGATGTCACAGCACAAGGGCAGCAGCACAAACCACGCTGTCTAACTGAAGAGGATAACTTTTCTTACAGGGTTTGCCCAAAGTTGAGGATTGGAATTCAAAGTTTAGGGCTGATAAATTAGGAACTTCTGTGTTTTCCTGATTTTAGACTTTCAGGTCCATTGAGATGTGTCTTTTCTAAAGATCAAGTGCAATGACAGGGCTGCCCACATCCCTTCCCTCAAGTTCACATTGCTACACACGAGCCAAACCAGCATTACATTCTCCAGAGACGAATGCGGAGCCTTCCGAGATGACAGCCTGTACTTTCCCAGGGATTAATAGCTTTGGCTTTTGAAAAACATCCTAAAAGAAAATGTTAACCTGATCTTTTTCTTTGTCTAGCCTCCTCCCAACAAAAAAAAAAGAGGAAAAGCAGAAATCTCCCTTTAAATAAAAAATATGTGTAAACATTTCAAAATTGATCACATAAAGCAGTGATTTTCAGAATTCTTTTGCAAGGAAAATGACATTTTAAATATAAAAAACTAGGAAAGACATAATCACATAATCTCTGAAAAAAGATAGTTTTTGTATTAGTCTGGGTTCTTTAGAGAAATAGAACCAATAGGATATGTCTGTCTGTCTGTATCTGTCTGTCTGTCTACTTATCCAGATTTATTTTAAGGAATTGGCTCACGCCATCATGGAGGCTGGCAAGTCCAAATGTAGGGTGGGCCCGTAGAGCCAGAGAAGACTTGATGCTGGCAGAATCCCCTCTTGCGGAAGGGTCGTCTTTTCTCTGTTAAGACCTTCAGTTGATTGAAGGCCCACCCACATCATGGAGGGTAATCTGCTTTACTCATAGTCTGCTGATTTAAATCTTAATCTCATCTAAAAAATACCTTCACAGAAGTATCTAGAATGATATTTGACAAAATAAGTAGCTGGTTACTAAGGCCCAGCCAAGATCACCCAGAATTAACCCTCCCCGCCCCCGACATTGAACAGATTGATGACAGTGAGAGAGGAACTGGCCTGTGCTGGCCCGCGGCCACACTGGCCCATTGATGTTTGCTGGGGAGTCACTCATCGCACCTAGAAGGTGCGTGTGGCGCTGCCGTGTCTCATCCTGCCTCACCAGGGCCGGGCAGACGTGCGGCCAGGCCGCCACTCACCAGGGCTTTGTGCTTACAGGTCCCGCACTTGTCACCGTGTGCTGTCTTGAAATTCTTAATTTCTGAACACGGGCCCTCGTTTTAGTCTTGTACTGGGTTGTCACAGTCTATAGGAGGCCCTATCCACACCCTTAGAAATTAGATATATGTGCATTCAGCGGTCACTTCTGCACGCCAGTGCCCGAGCGGGGTGCCGGGGACCACGGTGAGCAAAAGCAGACGTGACCCCACAAGGAAGGAGCTGACCAGAGATGGCTCTGGTCTTCTAAGGGGTGGGGGGAATTGTATTATGTTTCTGCAAAAGCAGCCAGAGGGAAAAGAAGCATATGGGGTAGACCACCTTTTTACAAAATTCACTTTTTTCCCCCCTAACAGGTGGAAGAATCATCTCCACAAGTGTCTTCCAAACTCCAGAATTTGAGACTAAATAGTTTAACCCCCAGGCAGCTCTTTAAATCCACAGATAATCAAGGAACTTAATTTTATTTCCGATTATTCAACAAGAATTTGTCTATATTTTTTCATTCAACACAAAATGGACAGCATAACTTCAAAGTATCAAGGTAAAGAGGATGTCTATAATGAGTTTTATTATAAGGCAGTGTGTTAGCAGATGTTTTAAATCCATTTGATCAAAGAAAATAATTATTTCGATATTTGTCATCACGAGAACTGGTGGTACTGGACATAAATGAGGAAAAATGATGTCATATATATGTCGTATATACACAAAACTCTGTACTCTTAAAAAGTGTTTTATTTCTATTTGTTTTTTTTAATTCTCACCGGAGGACATTTTCCCATTGATTTTTAGGTATAGTGGGAAGGAGGGAGGGAGAGAGGGAAACATTGATGTGAAAGAGACACATTGATTGGTTGCCTCCTGCACGACCCCAACTGGGGCTGGGAATGGAACCTGCAACCAAGGTACATGCCCTTGACCAGGAATCGAACCTGTGACTCTCCAGTCTGCGAGGGCTGACGCTCTAACAGCTGAGCCACACCATCCAGGGCAAGTGTTTATTTTTAGGATGATGCCTATTAACTCCACAATCACCGTGAGTGATCTTTGCCAATGGGACAAAGCAGTGGTAAGGATAAACTACATCTCTCACCGACGACTCCAGGACATCATGTCTTCTGCAAAGTGGTCGCCTCTCAAGGCGGCCGTTTGCTCGTCACTGCTGTCTGGCTCCGCCTCATCTGGGGCTTTCTCCGGGAAACTCCTTTTGAGTTGGGAGCACACTGTCTTTTGTTTTCTTAATTTGAGATATAACTGATGTGTAACATTGTCTGAGTCTAAGGTGTACAGTGTGTTGATTTGAAAACTTACATTTTGCAGTATGATACCACTGTAGCATTAGCTAACACCTCCATCGTGTCACATGATTGTCATGTTTCGGGGAAGCACATTGTTTTAAAGATATTCTACTTTGGAAAAAATTTTTCTCAGGGTGATTTTTATTTTTATTTATTGTTAAATGGTAAAAGAAATAGTTAAGATTTACCTGTAATCCCAATGCTTTAAAAATAGCCTTATTGAGATATAATTCACATACAGTTCACTCATTTATACAGGTGAGTGGCTTTTAGTGTATTCACAGTTGTGCTACCAACACCACAGTCAATTTTAGAATATTTTTATATAATCACCAAAGAAATCCTGTACCTCTTAGTGCTAACGCCCTCATCCCTCCAGCCCCAGGCAACTGCTAGTCTACTTTGTCTCTACAGTTTGTCCTTTGTTACTGACTTCTTTGATTTGTATAATATTGTCAGACTTCATCGGTGTTGTAGCATATATCTATCAGTGCTTCATCTGTCTTTTTAAAAAAAATATTAAAAGAATTATTGGGTAGATGCCTTGGATAATGCATTCAGGGAAGATCCCTCACACTTGATGAGGTGCGTCCTTTGTGTGCTGATGGGAAACTGGCCGTGTGTGCCACAGCCACACCCTCCGCAGACTGCTGGTGGGAGCTGACTGGCAAGGTCGGCGACCCCGGCTGAATTGTGGCAGGCGGCTCCAGGGGAGCTCCAGGTGACCCATCTTGCTTTAAGTGATGCCATGAGGCAAAAGGCCTTCATCTCTATTACCGAATAATGTTCTGTTGTTTGAATATAACCCACTGAATTTATCCATTTGTCAATGGTGGACATTTGGGTTGTTTCCATTTCTCAGCTATACACACACATGTGTGTGTGTAGAGAGAGAGAGATTAATCCTCACCTGAGGATATTTTTTCCATTGATTTTTTTCAGAGAGTGGAAGGGAGGGAGAGAGAGAGAGAGAGAAAGCAATGTAAGAGAGATACATCAATCAATCAGTTGCCTCCCGCACCTGCCGCAACTGGGGTCAGGGATCGAACCTGCAACCCAGGTGTGTGCCCTTGACTGGGAATTGAACCCATGACCCTTCAGTGCATGGACTGATGCTTTAACCATAGAGCCAGACTGGCCAAGATGAGTGGATAATTTTTTTTGTTTGTTGTTAATCCTCACCTGGATATTTTTCCATTGATTTTTAAATAGAGCGTAAGGGAGAGAGAGACACACACACACACACAAGTTGGCTGTCTTTCGCACGACCCCCAACGGGGCTGGGGATCAAACCTGCAACTAAGGTACATGCCCCTTGACTGGGAATCAAACCCGAGACCCTTTGGACTGTGGGCCGACACTCTAACCACTGAGCTAAACTATCCAGGGCAGTGTGGATATATTTTTATTTCTTTATGGTATATACCAGGGAATGGAATTGCTGACTCGTGTTGTAACTCTGTTTAGCCTTTTGAGGAACTGACAGACTTTTCCAAAGTAGCTGCACCATTTGATATTTATACCAGTGGTGTGTGAGGGTTCCAGTTTCTCCACATTCTCATTAGCTGACTTTTTTATTATAGCCATGTAATGGGTGTAAACTGATAGATACTTCATTGTGGTATTGACTTGCATTTCCCTATGGCTAATGATATTGATTATCTTTTCATGTGCTTATTGGCCATTTGTATGTCTTCTTAGGAGAAATGTTTATTCAGATCTTTTGCCCATTTTTATATTGGGGTGTTTTTATTATTGAGATAGGAGTTTTTTATATATTCTAGACAGAAGTCCCTTAAACAGTATTTTGCTAAAAAAATTTTTCATTTTGTGGATGCTTTCACTTTCTTGATGGTGTCCTTTGAAGCACAAGTTTTTATACCATCTGCAAGTAGAGATTTACTTCTTCCTTTCAAATCTAGGTGCCTTTTATTCCATTTTCTAGTCTTACTGCCCTGGCTACAGTTTCTAGTAAACTGTTAAAAGTGGTGAGAACGGACTCATCTTGTTCCTGTGAATTTACAAGGTCTGCAAGGCAATCTGCAAAAATGAAAGTGCTGGGACTATAGATGTATTTTGTTTTATTTAAAGAGAATAATGAAAATGTGTACATTTTTAATAGTTTATGTAAATTGGTTTCACAGAACACATGTAATGTTCTCTGAGGGCAGATACTGTCACCTAAAACAAATGCGCCCTGGTCTTGGGCATGTTCCCGTCTGCAGGCTGTTGGAGCGTGTTCACTATGTTCACACCTAGTCTCCACGACAGTCCTGGAATACAGACGTGACCTCCAGCGGTACAGGTGGGGAAACGACTCCCAGGGAATTTCAGACCACCTGTGAGCTGGAATTCAAACCCAGATCTCATTTCAAAACCTATGCCCCTCCCAGTCTTCCATGCTGCTTCTCAAGTTTCTGGCCAAACCGCATCGCTTTAAAAAATTATGTAGCAATAAGCATTGTGTAGGGCTCAGTCTACGACATGAAAATACATTCAAAGCACCAAAGAAATGCATGTCATATTTTTTGGCGTTTTCAAATCACTGTTTATTCCATTTGGTAGAGAATTTTTGTTTTCCATACAAATATTTGCAACAATTTTGAATTCCCCAAAACCATACATAGACGATAAATACCATGCTATTAAAGTATTAAATTTGTACAAAAATACTTTACAGTTTAATACTTGTTTGTTACAAATAAAAATACATATTTAAGTGACTCATGATCTTTTTTTCTTAACATGATTCTGCTTTATACTTTCTTGCCCTGGCGGTCCTGAAATGTGATAGAAATAATATATTTCTTTGCACAAAAAAGAAACGTGAACTTTTTCCTTAAACAAAGGACACAGTGTTCAGATGCTTCACCTAAGTGGTTGTTTGAATTATTGACCAATATGAAAATGTCTGGAAAATAATTGTTTCAATGTGGAGATTCTACAAGTCAACATACAGATCTATTTTTTTTTTTTTTTATATTCACCAAATAACAGTTATTAGTGTAACTATTCAAAATATCTGAGCAAATGAAGACAGTTGCTGACAAACATTGAATGCAACTGTCACAGTTTATTGCTTTGAGGGATGGTAATAGTTGGCAATGCCTCTGTGGAAAATGTATTTACAGACTCGGTGAGTGGCATGGCTCGGAACAAAGGACAGTCCAGTGTCACTTTTAAGTACATGTGCTGTACACCCCTCAATAGAACCAGTGTTTAAACATTGTCAAGCAAGATGAGTTCGGTTTGCCTATCGGTCAGCTAAACCTCGTTTTAAGAGACTTCATTCTTAAGTTCTTAGTCTTGAATTTTAAAAATAAGATAACTAACCCTCAGTGTTACTAAACACTCTAATTCATTATCAGAGATTTTCAGCTATTAAAAATGTGTTCTTAAAGGAAAAAAAAAACAAACACAACAGGTAACAAGACATATCCTGTTTGATAATTTGTTGCATAGGGAATAGCATACATCTTAGTTAAAATCATTCCTATACGTGGGCAAACAGTCACCACCACCTATATGGTCTCCTACGTGCAGCATTGCTGAAAGTTAAGATACTTTGTACCTGCCCCTCCCCTAGCGGTCCCAGCGGTTCCCAAACTCATTCCCTCAGCAGAGCCAGCTCCATGGAAATCCTGTTGGTCGAAGTCTTACACGAATGACTTCAGAGTGAGAAACTGATTTCAGAGTGAAGGAAATTAGCCTCGACAGTATTTTTTAAACAGACATTTTCCAAAAATGGATAGGGAGGTGAACTTGTAAAAAATGTCCTCTGGGGTTCCTTGTGGGAGGGGTGGCCTACCTATTTTTCTTTTTCTCTACCATTGGGCTTGGCAGGGGATCGTCTGCCACCTACCATAGTGATCACCAACAAAGAAACCTTTTCTGCCTGAAAAGGGAAGTGAACATGAGCCATGAGAGATTGAAAAGACCCCTGTGCTTGCAGTAATGCCACGTGATTATCTGTGCTTCACGGGTCACAGAAATCTTAAAGGGATTTTTAGCACCATGTAGATATTGTCTTTTGTCCTGCTTTATAAAAAGCATTGCTATAATGTATTAGTGGGCTCTCGAATCTCCAAATTACCCCCGTGGCTAGGCTGCTGGAAAAAAGCACTGTTCTGCTCGCTCCACTCTCCCGGGAGAGTCTGTTCCATGGACTTCTGGGAGGCCAGGGGGTTTCTGCTGATGACCAGGTCCAGCTTGTTCCCCGATTCCGCTATGAGGGGCACAACGAGGCAGCAGTCGAAGTCTCTCGTTCGGACGTGATTCACCTGGACGGTCGAGAAGAGCCATGCTGAGTTATTGTCACATAATTCCCCAAACCCAGAGTGACCGGCAGGCATGACAAGTTGTCCTGAAGGTACTCACAGCAGCACCTGTGCAGAGAGGGCTGCCCCAGCCCTGACCGAACTATAAGCAGCTTATTTATTGGCTTACATCCTTCGTCTCTGCTAC